GAAACTTTTCAAATACTGTATCCAGAATAATTCTGTGGATGTGGGATTTTTCTGTTTTTGGAAGAGTCGTCTCATTACCCAGAAATTTATCATTGCCGGAAGAGCGCCAATTGTTCCAGCAAACGGGGATATGAGTTTGTGTGTGTGTCTATTTTATATATATGTATACAGTTGAACGTAAATAGATTTACGCAGTTCTCGTTTACGCATTTGGTCATTTACGCAGTACCTTGTCAGAACCGGGATGCCCGATTTATGCGGTGAATTTACTCATTTACGTGGGTGAAGTATAATTTGTTTATTTACTGAAGATATTTGTTTTGGTTACCTCTTATAAGTTTTTGATTATTTTAAATATAAACATCAAGGAATTTGCATTAGACATACAAATTTTAGATCTAATTTAAGAATTTTGATTACAAAGCCAAAATTTTATCTTTTGTGCAAAACATATGACGTTTATATTCAAAATATTCCTGGCCTTGCAAGGAATCCAGCAATGTCAATTATATTATCCTAACTTTAATCTGAGGTATTATTTATTACTATACCTTAAAATCTAGTGTTTTCACTCAAACATTTCTCAGAGAGGGAGGAGCCAGCAAGCATGGGAAGAGGGTGGGGGGGGAGTTGAGTCCATTATTTGAACGGACATTAACCTGGCGACTGTATTTCTCTTAAATATTAATTGTGTGTGCATACCATCATAAAATTAAGATGTTATTTTTACTACAACGTAGGTATTGTGTCGGAAAAAGTGGAGTTTGGGAGTCGGCCCAGTCTCTATTTCAATTAATCCCATATGTTCTGTTATTCCATTTACGAGTTTCTCGTTTTACACTCTACTCCGCGGGTTCAATTGACCGCGTAAATTGGGGTATTACTGTATATGAAGAGGATAACCAGGGAAAACACAAATATTGTGACTAATTTGTGTTTCTCTAATTGGTAATGTTTTGGAAAATCATTTTCCATTATCAGAGCCTAGAAAACAGACACAAAGTTTTAAAAATTGCTGGTAATATACAAGAAAAATGAACCATTATTACTTTCAACAAAACTTTTAAAAGTAACATAGCATTACAATTTAAAACCAATAAAAATGTCAGGAGACTTAAGTACAAAATTAAAATCAGAACATACTAAAACATACAGGAGGTATTACCTTAATTGAGATGAGCCTCAGTGAGAAAAACACAACAATTCACAGGCAGCAATATCAGAAATGGATGGCTTTACTTTGTGTTGATACAAGGGTTCCATTATGACAAGGTCCATCTCACAGTTGCTTTTGCCAAGAACAGAAATCAGACTGCGAGAACGGGTGGTCATGTTGGTGGGCGTGGTTAAGGATAGCTGAATATGGTGGTTGTGTGATTAACTGGCCTGTTCGGATGGAACAGCCTAAGTGCTCATGTATGCGAGTTATCAAGTGTCTTTTTGTTTTACCTATATATGCTGCCCTACAGCTAGCACACATAAATTGATAAACAAGTGAGGATCGTATGTGTGCAGGTTTGGTGTTTTTAGTTTTAAAGGATTTTTTAATTGAACTCTGGGCTTTGAAAACTAGTCTAAGAGAAATTTGCAGATAGAATTCATTGAGAAGCTTCTTAAGTTTGTTTAAGGGTGAAATTGACTGGGCCTGTGTACAGGATGGTGAAATACAGTATAGTCTGGATTTACGCGGATTTCCTTTACGCGTTTGGTCATTTACGCGGCACCTGGCCAGACCGGCAATTATTAGTTACGCGGGAAGCGGCGTGGGCAGGGTGCGCACTAGGTCGCCCTGTCAACAAAACATTACCGAGTTCTTCACCCGCCACCCACCACAGCCAGCCCAAGTCAGTGATAGCGATAGTGAGGATATAGACTTTGAGGGATTTGACAAAGAGGCCCTGCAAGCCTCTGTGGTGGATAGTGATACAATTGATACAAGTGATACAGGTGAGGGCCAATAATCTGCCCTCTGCCTCGGAACCAACCCCCCATCCCCGTGTGCCCAGCCATCTCTTCTACTAACGTAAGTGTTAAAAAAGCTAATATTATTGATATTTCTCTTATATATTAATTTTGTGTGCATACCATCATAAAATTAAGATGTTATTTTTACTACAACGTACGTATTGTGTCTGATGAAGTATAAATTGTTTATTTATTTGAAATTTTTGTTTTTAGCTTATAAAATTCATAGAAATTACCCAGCCAGAATATAATTTACATATAATCAATATAATTTGAATATAATCAAGCTAAAATTTGCACTAGACATACAAATTTTAGTTCTAATTTAAGAATTTTATTAGAGAGAGCAAAAATTTTATCTTTTGTGCAAAATATATGACGTTTATATTCAAATTATTCGCTGTCTTGCAAGGAATCCAGCAATGTAAATTATATTCTCCTAACTTTAGTCTGCGATATTATTTATTATTAAACCTGTAAGCCTAGTCCTTTTCCCCAAATATTTCTCGGGAAGGTGGGGGGTAGGGAGGGAGGGAGCCAGCGAACGTGGGAAGAGGGGTGGGGGGGGAGTTGAGTCCATTAATTGAATGGACATTAACCGGCGACTGTATTTCTCTTAAATATTAATTGTGTGTGCATGCCATCATAAAATTAAGATGATATTTTTACTACAATGTATGCATTGTGTTGGAAAAAGGGTAGTCTGGGGTCGGCCCAGTCTCTATTTCAATTAATCTCATATGTTCTGTAATTTCGTTTACGCGTTTCTCGTTTTATGCGGACCTCCACGGATTCAATTGACCGCGTAAATCCAGACTATACTGTAGATAGAATATTTAGGAGCGGTGTGGATTTGAGGCTGTGTGGGATGAAAAATCTTATTAAGGATTTTGCTTATATGAGTACAGTAGAACGTCGATTTAAAGCGATTCAATTTAAGGTTATTGATTTAAAGCAACACCCACAATTAAGGACAATGTTTTAATTTAAAGCGAATCTTTCATATTTTGCGCGAGTCAATCTGGAGAAAATAATTTGTATTGCTGGAATCCTTGCAAGACAGCGAATAATTTGAATATAAACGTCATATATTTTGCACAAGAGATCAAAATTTTTGCTCTTTGTAATAAAATTCTTAAATTAGAACTAAAATTTGTATGTCTAATGCGAGCTATAGCATGTTTATATTCAAATTAATCACTATCTTATAAGAATTCCAGCAATGTTAATTATATTCTCCCATGTCAGTTCAGTGACATTTTATAAGAGAAAACTTAAAAGTCACTCTTAAGGACAGATAAATAAATAAGCACTAGACCTTGGCATCAACTGTCAATCATATCACCTCACCTCCCTCCCTCCCAGCCAGTAAACAGACCATTTCACATCCCTTAATTTTAGCTGTGTTGATTTATGAGTGTTTGTTTTAACATAATACTGCAAAAAACAATGTTTTGTGTATTCTTGGAGATGGGCTGTGGTGCATCTGGGTAGACTCTCAGGCTTTTTAGTATTTTGTGTTTCTCTCAAGTACCAAACTAAACTATTCCATTGAAACAACACTTTGATTTAGTGCGAATTCGGTTTAAAGCGACCTCTCTTGGAATGTATCTCGCGTTATATCCACGTTCTACTGTATCTGTAAATCTCTCAAGGAAGCCATTATTAAAGAATAGTTCCTTTATATATTTCACTTCAATGTCCAGGTGGAAGTAGCTTGAACATACAGTACTGTATATTAAAGGCTCTGTCGGTAAGAGTACGCACTAGACTTCGTTTGTAATTAAGAGGATTGAATGATGAAAATTTTTTACTCAAACCTGTGAATGTTGGTTTTCAATTCAATTTCAATTGTTTATTCCTTATGTTGGTTTTCTGTATAAGACTGTCTCAAAACTATTATAAAGACAGTGGATATTAATATCAAGAAATGGTGTAATATTGTTACGTTGGTTAATTCCCCAGTTAACCAGGTTGGTACACATATAATATAATTGGGCTTTTGGTAACGAAACCCAATTGAAGTTTCTTGTTTTATTATAAAAGTATTATGTTTATAATTCCTGAATGTATATCAACCGTAAGTTCTACTATTTATGAGTGAATGAGAAAGTACGGCGTTTATGTAATATAAATGTGGATCAACGTCCGTTCGATAGTAGTTGATGTGAGTGACTGACTAAGGCATCGCGCTAGTGCGCGCTTACATAGATGCTGACATATGGGCTTCTCCCTCTTGGGAAAGTTACCCTTCACATGATCAGTTCATGTCTTACTCATAGTTAGTGGAAAGTTACAGGTGGTGAATCTGAATATAAATCAGATGTAAAAACCCATTTATATAATACTTCTGTTGATGAGACAGGGGCCATTACAATATTGTCCTTTCCTAATTCACAATAAATTTGATGTTGCCATGTTTCGAATTTAGGTGCCGTAATTTAGGAACATAGGGACGTGGTCAAGTGATCTGAAAATTAAAAATGTGTCATCAACATACAGTGAGTTCTGCAATAACGCGTGTTTTGATAACGCGATTTATGAATTAGGAACGATATTTGTATAACGCGAACGCTTGTTTGCTATAACGCGATTTTTGCTTACTCTTTCTCCAATTTTGTGGTACTGTATTAACTGTGAATATAGTAAAGAAGAATATCAACAAGAAGCGTTCTGGTGATAGAATTCCCGGTGATGATCGTAAAAGAAAGGATATAACACTTGAAGAGAAGCTCGATTTTATCAACCTCAAAATCACCCTTCTCCCCCATCAAGTAAAGTGTTACATTTACTGTATGATTTCATTATTAGATATGAATGTAACATTTATTTAGACTGTGCTATCCTTTGTGTTAGGCTAACTACTAAATTTTTTCGATTTCGAGTAATCTGCACCTAACCCTATTTTCTCCATAAGCCCTGTTATTTCTATTACGCGATTTTCTATAACACGATATTTTACAAGAACACAATTATCGCGTTATAGCAGAACTACCTGTATAAGAAACTGAAAGTATTATGTCTTTTTCAATCAGGTGAAGTCAATCTGGGCAAGTATAGAAGATGAGGCTGGAAGCAGAGGAGGACTGAGGCTGTTAAAGGGACCTAGACGGAAGAAAAAGTCACCAGCTCCTTCAGTTGCTTCCATCATTCCTCCATCCAGTGTAGCTCCCATGAACCACCAAGCTCCTGTTGCTGTAGCTTCTTGTGGCATTTCAGCAGTACAAGTGCCTCAACCTGGGATGCAACACCATTGCATGAAACATCTAAATCATATCACTCAAAAACCCCCTCCTCCTCCACCACCTCCCAAATCTCACATGATGCCTCCTCCTCCTGCATCTCATGACCCCATATCCAATGGCTCCTCCCCCTGCTGCTGAATACTACCCTATGCCAGGGCACTTCATGGCTCAGTACACACCAGCAACCATGGGTGCCTCACCTTAGAAATGAGTAAGGTTTGGTCATGAAGAATATTCTTGTATAAATCTTTTAAATTGATAAAATATGTGTTCATACAATCTCCTGCACTTCCAACTGGTGCAGTCAGCATTGTTGATACTCAATTTCTGTGCAGTGTGAACCCTAGGAGTATCAACGTGTGGATTCAAAGCATTAACGAGTGTGTGTGTGAACAACTTTATACAGTACTTTTCAAGAATAAACTGATAAACAAGTTTAATGATGCAGGTACAGGTATTTGTATTATTTTTTTCGTCTACTGACATATGAATTAAAATAATAGACACAACCACCAATTGGTAGACTTAATACCTTGTTTATAAAACCCGACCACTAATTTTAATCGCACCATGAACGAAACCCCAAATTTGGTCTCGAATATTTAATAAATTTCCTATATGATTTTGTCAAATTGCCAGTAAATAAAAATTATTAAAATAAATGGATTAATAATATTTCTTAAGGATGCTATTTTCTCATTGGTGATTCAATAATACTGTATGTACATGGAGTGTACGTAGTGTTTATACTGTACAGTAAAGCCTCGAATAACGATGGTAATGTGTCCTCCAATATTGCAGTGTAAGGTAAATCATCGTATCTCGAATCATTAATTACCATTAAAATAAAGCAATAATAATGAGATGCATTCCCTAGTGTGACCTTTTCATATCTTTTGTGTGGCTTTTTACCCTCTTTTCCCCCAAAACAATGCCCAAGAGGAGATGAGACGCCATTGTTTTCATTTGTGTTTATAGCCGGGAGTCGGGTGGTGGTTTAGTGACCCTCGGTTACTTGAACTCAATCCGTTCAGAAGATTAGATTCGTTAACCGAAAGGATTACGTTAACGAAACCATTGTTTTAAATGGTTTGATCAATGGACAGCTCTTGGTACCTAGAATTCAGCAGAAATGAAAGTTCACTTACTTTGGGAATTGTCTGGCAAGGCTCCTGGATGATGATGATGATGGGGAATTAGGGCCTGGGGGTGGAGGAGAAGAGAAGGCATTGGGGTGGAAGAGAAGTCACCCCATGGCACCATTTCACCCATAAAATTTTAGTTCTCTTGGTGTATTTCAAGATTATTTTCTTTAAATCAACACTGCACTGCATTATATATTGTCAATATGTAAAATATATTTCAAAATGACCAATAATTTGCTTGGAAACACAGAAAAAAAAGCGTTTAGTTGAAGAGTCTCAAGCAAGATGTTACCTCCACTGAAAACAGAGAGAGACTAACGCCTGTCTGGTGTGTTAACAGGCTGGATGGCACCCCAGAAACTAGTTTCTTTACCTTCAATTATGTTCAATAATTGTTAAAATGACTAAAAAAGTTAATATTAAACTTTTAAAATTATTGAATAGTATAAACTTCTTGATATTTACTAAAATAGTAAGGAATTTAAGCCCTAGAACCGATTAATGTATTGGCGGACTGATACTAAAGCTGGTTGCCCGGTCAGTGCAAGCGAAAACATGTTGAGGTCGGTTCGTAAGAAATTCGTTAACCGAATTGAAGATCCTTATGGAAGGCAGTTCATTAACCGAAATTTCGTTAACCGAGGCGTTCGTTAAACGAGGGGTCACTGTATGCGAGAAAATTAAGAAAATAAGACCCTGGTTGTAGCTGTAGTAAAATTAATGTAAAAAAATGAATATACAGTATTACCCCGCCTAACGCGGTTTCACTTAACGCGTTTTACCATATACGCGGTGCCTCGCCAGAGCTGAACTTTCACTTAACGCAGGTTTTTTCCACATATAAGCGGTGAGTGTCCGGCTCGAGAGCTATATTTAGATTCCCCCACCCGCCACCCTGCCTGACTGCCTGTTTTAGGTCATAAAATTCATACAAATTACCCAGCCAGAATATTATTTACATTGCTGGAATTCTTATAATTTGGTGATCATTTTGAATATAAACATCATAGATTTTGCATTAGACATACAAATTTTAGATGTAAAGTTTATTCTGAGTAAATATGTTATCTTTTGTGAAAAATATATGACATTTATATTCAAAATATTCCTGGTCTTACAAGGAATCCAGCAATGTCAATTATATTATCCTAACTTTAGTTTGAGGTATTATTTATTACTAAAAGGTAAATATTCTGGTTTTCCCACACATCTGGTGAGACGGTTGGTGGGGGGTGGGGGGGAGGGAGGGTCCGACCGACCATCTGTTACAGTGAAGAATATTTTTTTTTTTTTATTAACTGAAGATATTTGTTTTAGCTCATAAAATTCATACAAATTACTCGGCCAGAATATAATTTACATTGCTGGAATTATTACAATATGATGATCATTTTGAATATAAACATCTTGCATTAGACATACAAATTTTAGATGTAAAGTTTATTCTGAGTAAATATGTTATCTTTTGTGAAAAATATATGACATTTATATTCAAAATATTCCTGGTCTTACAAGGAATCCAGCAATGTCAATTATATTATCCTAACTTTAGTTTGAGGAATTATTTATTACTATACCTGGTTTTCCCCAAAAAATTTCTCAGAGGGAAGAGCCAGTGAGTGTAGTGTGAGAAGAGGGGGAGGGAGTTGAGTCCATTATTTGAATGGACATTAACTTACGACAGAGTTTTTCATTTTCTAGACACTGTATGTACCATCATAAAATTAAGATGGGTTTATTGTTCACTTAATGATTTCACTTAACATGGGATCTCTGCCCCATTGATCATGCTTAAGGGTACAACCGTACAGTAGTACCCCGCTTAACGCGGTCAATTGAACCCACAGGGTACCGCGTTAAGTGAAAACCGCGTTAAGTGAACAACAGAACATATGGGATTAATTCCAATAGAGACTGGCCCGACCCCCAAACTCCACTTTTTGACGACACACAACTATGTTGTAGTAAAAATTTTATCTTAGCTTTATGATGGTATGCACACACAATTAATAATTAAGAGAAATATCAATAATATTAGGTTTTTTAACACTTGCATTAGTAGAAAAGATGGCTGGGCACACGGGGATGGGGGGTTGGTTCCGAGGCAGAGGGCAGATTATTGGCCCTCACCTGTATCACTTGTATCAATTGTATCACTATCCACCACAGAGGCTTGCAGGGCCTCTTTGTCAAACCCCTCAAAGGCCATATAAGTCCATATCCTCACTATAATTATCACTATCACTGACTTGGGCCTGCTGTGGTGGGTGGCGGGTGAAGAACTCGGTAATGTTTTGATGACTGGGCGACCTTGTGCGCATCGTGCCCGCGCCGCTTCCCGCGTATATGATGAAAAATTCCGCGTTAAGTGAAAGTTCAGCTCTGGCGAGGCACCGCGTATATGATAAAACGCGTTAAGTGAAACCGCGTTAGGCGGGGTAATACTGTATATGTTTTAAGTAATGTTAATAAATGGAACACTAGAAGTAGCTAACCACTAATGGCAAAGAAAAAAAAAGAGATGGATTGGGAACGCCAACATAAAGTATACGTGAGCATTTAAGGATACCGCGTCATTTATCTTTTTAAGAATATGTACAAAAGATTCATTATTGTTTATTATTGAATATGCATTTGATTGAATTAATCTTTATGTGTGCGAAATGAACAATACAATTCATTAATAATGCGTAGAATATTAAAACACACAAGAGGATAAGAGATGGTATTGTTGTCAGCGTTTCCACCCATAATGTCAGTTATCCACCTGAAACTGAAGAAAATAAGATCCTGGCTGTTGTAGTAAAATTAATGTAAAAAATATGTATGTTTTAATTAATGTTATTTAATGTACTGTACAGTAGAAGTAACCACTGACGGTAAAGAAAACAGTGAGAGACTGATAACGGAGCGCCAACGTACAGTATACGTGTGCACTTTAGGAAACATAGCGTCATTTATCTTATTAAGAATATGTGCAAAAGACTCATTATTGTTTATTACTGAATATGTATTTGATTGAATTAATGTTTGTATATGTGAAATGCACAATGCAATTCATGAATAATACGTAGAATATTAAAACAAACGAGGAGACAAGATGGCATTGTTTTCGTGAGTGACGATGGTTCTACATAAGAAACTGATGAAAATAAGACCCTGGTTGTAGCTGTAGTGAACTAAATGTAAAAAAAAATTGAATACCAGTATGTATGTTTTAAGTAATGTTATTTAGTGTGAATAAATGGAACACTAGAAGTAGCTAACCACTAATGGTAAAGAAATAAAGCGAGACGATTGGGAAGGCCAACGTATGAACAGTGAAAACATACCGCCATTTCTCTACATATGAATATGAAAGCAACACTTATATACTGTTCATATGTGTTTTAAATAATACTTATGAATGTAAAACAAAAATTCTACTCACCAATAGTGGTAAAGTCTAAAACATAAGGGCAGCCAATGATGTTGTGCGAGTATTTACTCAGATGACGAAGTCATTAGGTTCAACTCTGGCTGAAGCTGTAGCTTTCCATAAAGCTGTTGCTGAAACTGTTACTGAACCTGAAGTTGTTGTTGAAGTTGCTTATGATGCTGAATTTGATGGTGTAGCTGAAGTTGATGGTTTAGGCCTTCGAATAATAAAGCTGTCGAAAGAACCTTGCACAGCTACTTTCTTTTCTTATTATACATCTTTATGTAGAGGTCATTTGCATTTATTTAAATTTTAATGCTTTGTTCTGTTAATGGATCCACTTCAGAAAATATGTTCATTGCTTGCTCCATATAATATCCACAGACCTCTCACCTTTTTCATATCATTTCTCGGCTAACCTTGTACATTTTCTATTAGCTAGCTGCTTATTGTTTGTACTAGTGATGCTAAAGGCCACCACTAACAAGTCCGCAGCCTCTGTGCGTAAAGGCTTTTTTTTTTTTTTTTTTTTAATATTGAGATTTAGTTACTATTTATACTGTACGAAAATGAAATGTATATATTTTTTAATTTCGTTGTAAATATGAAGAAAATAATGGTGTAAATTGAATTAGGTCCTAAATTAACCAGGGTTTTAGATATGAATCTTCGTTAGTCGAACTGTCGTTATCGGAGGCTTTGCTGTATCTTTGTTTGTAAACGAATTCAGATGGTTGAAGGATGGGTTGAGACCTTAGTCACACGACTTGAAGTTTCACATTGACTTGTGATAGGTGTTGTTGGAGCCAACACACATTTTAGCTCAGAACTGTCATGAGTCATTCATACAGATATCGAACTTTGGAAACCCGTTTTCGGGGCATTATCTTCAACAACTGGCTTATGTGGCAGGCACATATTTGTTACCTCAGTGTTGCCAACATGCTCTCAAGTTATTAAGAGTCTTGGGGCACACGTCATGGGGTACTGACCGAGGAACTCTGCTATACCTTTACCACGTGCTAGTTAGACCCAAACTGGATTATGGGTGTGAGGTGTACTCCTCAGCCACTGAGGCTAGACTCGATACACTGAACTCTGTTCATCATGCT